TAGAATAATACTGTTACCTTATACTATTACTCTATCCTCCTTACCAAATTTATGTTTCTTCACAGCCACAAGATATTTTTATTTATTCACCAGAGTGTAATCCCTGAGAGTAAGAGCTTTGTTTTTCCAACAACCTATAGAATACTGTCTGGCACTTACTGATTGCTCAGTAAATATTTGTTAAAACCACGACATGGCTATATTATATTTAGTGTTCTGTTCCTATTAAATAGCATTAGGAATGAATATGACTTCATGTTCTAAAAACTGACATTTCTGGTTGTCTAGCTGAAAACAACTGGAAACACTGGATAAAATAAAAATGTGAAAATGTTAAGTGTAAGTTAGTAAGGCCTACCCGGAGGCCAAAAACAATGTGAAAGTGGAAACCAAAAGAGGTAAAGGGACCCCTGAAGCTGGGATTTTTCTTGAGGGTATTTGCCACCCAGGCAATTTAAACTTAGATTTTCATGGATGTAAAATAAAGAGAATGAATAAAATAAAAAGAATAATGACATAGCCAAGAACCTTCCCAAGTTAGGTGTGTAATACTGGATCCTCCCCCAATTAGTTTGGAACCCCAGAGAGCTAGACTTTCATTATAAAAGGTGACCTGGAAATAACCACAATTCTACCACCATTCTTTAGAGACTAAAGGAAATTGCAGTACTTGAACTTTTTACTGAATAAAAGGTAAAACAAAAATGTCTCCCGATCACTCATACTCACAAGCTACCACACATATGCATTGAAGCTCAAATTGACACAGCCAACCTGGATGATCCAAAACGTCTCAAACTGAGAATTTAGTTCACAGGGATTTCAAGTAGGCATCAGCAAATGTTAATCTCACATAGGAATCCACCTTCAATCCAGTCCCACGAAATTCTAATAATTCCCACAAAGTTCTAAGAAAGAAAGCTCACATTCAGAAAAATCACAAACCCATGGAAAGAAGAGCACCGTAAGTGACAGCCAGTTGAGACAAGAGACAGAAGAAGCATACCTAGACAGGCTTCAGGTTTTACAATTATCAGGCACTGAATATAAAATATTTTTACGATATTTAAAGAAATGAAGGGATTGAAAATATGAATAAAGGGCAGGAGGCTATTAAAAATGTCCAAACATATTTGGAAAAGAACCAAATAAACACGTTCAAATAGAAATTAGTGAGATTAACCGCAGACTAGACACGGCTGAGAAAAGAATTAGTGAGTTAGAAGATTGAAGAAATTGTCAAGAAGGAATCACTGAGCAATTAAGAGAATAAAAATATGAAACAGAGATAAAGGTACAATGCGGATCAAGAGAAAAATTCCCACATATGTTAACTGGACTTCCAGAAGGAGAAGAGAGAGTGTACGGGTGGAGCAAAAGAGATGATAGCTCATTTTTCCAAACGGATGACAGTCATCAATCCACAGATTTGGAAGTCCAGTATATTCCAAACAGTATAAATAAAAATAATTCCACATCTAACCATATCAGAAGGAAACTGCAAAACACAAAAGGAGAAAAGAGAAAATCTTAAACACAGAGAAAGAAGACTGATGAACTTAAAGGGAATGGCAATTAGACTGTCAGGTGATTCAATGTTGAAAGGCCCAAAGCCACAGCTAGTAAATATTAAATAGTAAAGCCAGGATTTGGACCCAGAGAGTCTGGCTTCAGAGCCAAAGCACTGAATCTCTAACTATACTGCTTTCTGAGTGTGGAGTTGGGAACTAATTTATTTAAGGCAATGTTAAAAGTAAAATTAGAACAATGAAGTAATATACAAATTATTCAAGAGCTTCTGGTTATTCTTAAGTCTTAACTCATTACAACATGTATTTTATTCCTAGGTAGCAATTCTCCCCTAGTACCGGTACCAGCAAGACTAATCTGGTGTCTTTTTTTCCCTCCAAAATCAAGCTGGAGCAGATAATGTAGGGCTGACTTCAGTTCTAGAAGGTGTGGATGGAACTGCTGAAAATAATGTTCCTAGCCCACTGATAATTTAATAATTCCACTAACTTGACTTTAAACTTTATTATTATCTTTTCAAAAAAGTTGTAGCTCTTTTCCTGCAGGTGACATTATTATATTTTTCAAGTACTAAGTTAAGTAGTAAATACTCAAGTTAAGACAAAGATTGTAAGGCTACATAAAAACATCCAACCAAATGCTTTTTACAAGAGGTGGGTTTGGGCAAAAGAGTTAAATCTTTCTCTTCCACAGGAAAAAACTATAATAACTATCTAAGACTAAAAATAAAATTAGGAATTAGCCACACAAACATGTTATTTAAAATTTGTAAATTCCAAAGGAATCAGCTAAAAGAGTTGAAAATGAAAGCTTTGAGTTTGGGGGAAATGGGGAAGGGGAGACAAGGGACACTATTTTTCAAACTGAACCGTTTATAACTCACTGGCTTTAAACTTGGTGTGGGGGTGAGGGACAGAGAGGGAGAGAGAAGAGACCTGGAAACTACAAGTATAAAAATTATTTTAGAGTGTTTTTCTTAAACAGGAGTGGAGAAATGGGATGTGATGTTGAGAGATGTTTTGTTGCTTTTAAGATAGAAGAATTAACAGCATGTTAATGGGAACAAGACAGGAGAGGGCAGAGGTGCAGGAGCAGGGAGTTGATAGGATCTACTTTAGCAGGTGGAAGGGTTGTCACACTTCACAGAATTAAGGTAGACTGTGCTGGTACACGTGTTGTAGATGTGGGTGGCAGAGCAAGCGAGAGTTCTTTCTTGTTGCTTCTTTTTTCCCTCAGAGAAATAGGAAGCACCACCATCGCTGAGGATGGGGTGGAGGTGTGACACAAGGTTTGAGAGAGCAGCTGCGCAATTGTCCTTTTGGGAGTGGGAGACAGTGAGAATGAGGTCAGTGTAGTAGGATTGTTGGGAGCACTGATGGCTCACTGAAACGAGCGGTCATGAATTTACAGTGAGACCAGTGAGTACCGTTGTGCTATTTCCTCCAGCCACGTTCAGTGAGTATAGGTGCAAAGTTTTAACCAGGGTTAGGATTTTGCTGGGTGAGTCCAACAAGGGAGAGAGATGCAAGGGAGTTCAGTTTGTGTGCCAAGGAGTTATTATAATGTTGAACCACGGAATCTAAGCTGGGTGGGGAAGCAGGGTGAAGTGGTGGCGGAATCAATGAATAGTATGACCTGGCGGGGTCAGGGAATTGTTTACCTTGGGCTGTTAGAGGATGTGAGCTGGAAAGATGGGAGATGATGATCAGACAATGGGATGTTTCCACTGAGATTACAGAGGTTACAGTCATTGGTAATGACTGGACCTAAGGGTATGACCATGGTGATTTTTCATGTATTTTGGATATTAATCCTTCGTCAGTTTATAAGTTGTAAATATCTTCCTCCAGTTTGTGGCTTGTCTTATCATTTGCTCATGATTTCTTTTGCATTAAAAAAAACTGGTTAATTTTGATGTAATCAAATGTATGATCCGTCTTTTGTTCTCTTCTTTCAGAAATCCTTCTCTATCCTGATGCCATAAAGATGTTTTCCTAAGGTTTCTTCTAAAACTTTTGTAGTGTTGCTCTTCCCATACGTCTTTATTCACCTGGGATTCACGTCTGTGTGTAGTTTTGGATAGGTGCCTAAGTTTAACGTTTTCCATGGCAGGTGGTCCTAGTACCATTTATTGACTAGTCCATTTCTCCCCCACTGACTTTTATCATCACTTCTGTACTATACCAAGCTCCTCTAGATTTGTGCATTTGTTTCTAGGCTCACTAGTTTGTTCCACTGGTCTATTTCTGTGCCAGTCCCACAGTGTTTCGAATGCTATAGCTTTAGAATTAGGTCTTGACATCTGATAAGGTCACAACTCCCCAAACTCCTCCTTCTTCAAGTATTTCTTGGCTTTCACTTGTTCTTGTTTTTTCATCTGTATTTTTGGATCAGTTTATCAAATCTATAAAAAAGCCTATTGAGATTTTCATTAGAAGAGCATGGAGTTTATTGATCTACTTAAAAATAATTATCATCCATAATATTGAATCTTCCCATCCATGAACATGGCTTATCTTCCCATTTCTTATGTCTACTTTTAGGTCTTTTGATAAAGTTTTGTAATTTTTTTCCTTCAAAGTCTTGCTATACTATTAAATTTATTCCTGGTTACCCTAGAAATCGCCACTCTTCCCTAAAATTCTTTCTAATATGAGGGCTGCTGTTTTCCAGCATATGCTCTGGCCTCCATGTCCTTCTCTGATTGCTTGGGCACTTCCCCTTTGGGACGACAACGTGGGAAAGCAGCCTCCTTCTATTTCATAGTACCCTAGTGGATAAGCATGTGGGCCCAGAGGGAGACCATCTGGGGTCAAACTCCCTCTGCCACTTACTGGGCAAAAGCTCACTGGCCTCTCTCTGACTCAGGTTCTTCATGTGTAAAATGAGGATAGTAATGTATCTACATCAGAGTTTTGTTCTGAGACTTGAATAAGTTCATCCACATAAAGTACTCAGAACAGTGCTAACAAATGGTAACTATGGTCGTTCTTATTGCCCGTGCCTCTTCTGAGTGTCATCTCTTCACTGACTCTGGACCGTGTGATTGAATATGATTGTTCAGACTGGGGTTCAAACTGGACCATACAGGCAGATGCAGACTACCAAGGGGCTTCATTCAAGATACATGTTCTGTTTTTTCTCTGTGCTTTAAACAAAGCTGTCCCAAGCATCATATCCCAGAGGAGGCAATATTTTCTTTTCGGGTGAGTGACATTTTGTGGGAAAGTTCTCATATTAAGTGGAATTTGGTTCCACAGATTGATGGATTGATTCAATAAGCTCGTTATTCAAGGCCCAATACTAAGCTAAAAGCTACAGGCCTGAAACCATTCTTACGTAAGATATGAATTTAATTTGTCACAATGCGCTGAATCATACTTACTTTTTTATGTGGTGGGAGAAACATATCCGTAGGTGTGGTAGTGGTGATATTGTACACAAGTACATAACTTATTTGTTCCTTCTAGTGTGTCAAGAATTCTTGAACCGATTCTACGACTCCTTGATAGCCAGAGGAGTCAACTTTTCCCTGGACACCATAGAAAAAGAATTGATCAGATTTTGCTTGGATGTCAAAGGAAAAGAAAACCGCCTGGTATGGTAAATTTTCACCTTTCATTTTCTCCCTGTGCTCGGAGAAAACTGCTAATCGTTTCATTTCTCATCTTGAATTTAATGTTCTACTTCTTTGATGCTTGCTTCAAGCCTGCTCACTGCAGAAAGCAAGCAGAAATTGATCTTTCAGGGAAATGGAGTCAATGGATTTTCATCTAGAATATGTCTCATTTCATTTGGCTTTTTGAAAAAACCATAGGCAACCAATTGCATGATTTCTTTTTTTTTTTTTTTTTTTTTTTTTTTTTTTTTTGGGGGCCC